TGTGTGACGCAGGGTTGACTGTGCGAAGAATAATTTCAAGCTGTTTGAGGGTACAAGGTAATAAAACCGAAGGCGTCTATTAGAAATTGTACGTAAAACGTCTTCCTTTTTACTTTGAACTGAGAAATCTTCGGAAAAGGGATTCCGCACGAAATGGCTGAGCTATGCACTGTGTTCAGCGACAATCATACACTGGAAGTCATTTTATTCAGTGTACCACAGAGTCTGTGCTATGTTCTTCTGCACTTCTACATATAAAATCATTATGTCCACACGGTGGAACTCATAGAAATGCTGGTGAACGCTGCCGCTCTTCTTTATTGCTTCTTGGTTTTCTCCTGGATGAACTTTTTGCCGCCTCCTTTGATGTAGGATTGGAAGTAGAAGTTTCCAAACAGAACCACGTACGAGAATTCCATGGCAAGACAACACCTAAATGAGTAGTATGAATAAGTTAAAAAAAGATTGCCTATGGGAGGACTGTTTAGGAGATGGTATAGTTGCAGTTTTGTTGACCTACTAGGCGCCCGGCTCGGTTGTCAGATCCCGAACAGGACCCTGTCTGAGCCTACAAAACATTCCATCCCTCCTGGTAAATTGGTACCCAACTCGAGAGAATGCGTGTATCATTCCAAAAAGGACTCAATGCCAAAAATCCCAACTTTAGCCTTTTACTTTTTCTCGCGTGTAGTCTACTGAAGGCTACCATATTTAATATTGGCCCCTAAAACGAAGCTACTATATTATATGGCTAAACGAAAAAAAAACTGACCAGAATACTGTAGGCGTGCTGTCGACCTTCACTCCTTGACTGACGAGGTATCCCACATGGAAGAGGATCAAATGAGTGATAACGAACTGCAGAATCTGCATTGTCGTAATGTTCTTGGCCACCCAAGCAGGAACTCTCACACCCATTGAGCGTAGCATGTAATATCTGAAAAGATTCAATTCACGGAATGACTTCAATGTTAGAGCAACCCCACTGCACTTCATTCAACTTACCCATACATTATCGAGTGAACCGTGAAGTTCATCCAGGTGATCCAGCTGTTGTAGGCGATGTCGTGTGAGTACGACATAATCGCATAGTTCATAGTCAGGACATGATGGTACCTGGAAGGTAGAATTTTGCAACTTTTACCAAAAATCACCAAGGAAATGGTGACCAACCAGTGAAGGAAAATGAGTGGCTTCTTGCGCAAAACCAGCAAAATCGTGTCCCCAAATTCGAGTACTTTGCTCATCACGAACAGGAATGTCAGTAGACCACTGAAGCCCTCGAAGTAATTACCAATACGAGTGTAGGATGCTGCAATTGAAGATTGTATGAGTAATCTGCTATTATTAAATGAAAGTATTCTCATCTCTGATGTCATCGACGTTCGCTGCATGAAGTCTATGCTACCGAAGAATTAAGGGGGCATCCACCGAAGACGTTCTCTAATGTGAAGTGGGCTGCGCAAGCTTTATTGTTGAGCATACTATTGCTCCTTACGTATAAGCGGTTTTTTCAACTTCATATCTTACGTGAAGGACCAAG